GATGAGCCCCATGGTGTCACCAGGATGGGTCCCATGGGGATGGGTCCCACTGGGATGAGCCCCATGGTGTCACCAGGATGGGTCCCATGGGGATGAGCCCCGTGGTCCCACCGGGATGGGTCCCACTGGGATGAGACCCATGGTGTCACCGGGATGGGTCCCACTGGGATGAGCCCCGCAATGCCACCAGGATGGGTCCCACCGGGATGGGTCCCATCAGGATAACCCCCGTGGTGCCACCAGATGCTCCACCAGCACAGGAGGGGACACAGCACCCATGGGACACCCTCGGTGCCCGGCGGTCCCTGTCTCGCTGCGCCTGTGTCTGCAACAGCCGCTGGGTTTCCGCCTGTAGCTCGGGCCCGGCTCCACTTCCCCCTTGCATTTCCAGAACTCCGGGGCGCTTTTCCATCCCGGTGACACCCCGGGGACACCGGTGACACCCCAGGGCCACCCCTGACCCCCCACCCCGTCACCTCCCCGCAGGGTGACGCAGTGCAAGTACAAGCGCATCGGCTGCCCCTGGCAGGGGCCCTACCACGAGCTGACGGTGCACGAGGCCGAGTGCACGCACCCCACCAAGACGGGCAAGGAGCTCATGGACATCCTGGACGAGATGGACCAGACGCGCAAGAAGGAGATGCAGCTCTACAACAGCATCTTCAGCCTGCTCAGCTTCGAGAAGATCGGCTACACAGGTGACGAGGTGGCCGGGCCTCGGCGCGGGCGGCCGGTGAGGTCGCGGGCGGGCGCCTGTTGCGGGGTTGAGGTGATGATCGGGTTGTTTGTGTTGGTTGTCACGCGGTGTTGATGGTCTCTGGCTTCCCGAGTGTCCGCTCTGGAGCGGGATGGAGCTGTTGGGTGGCCCTTGGTGTCGTCGGTGGCCTCGCATTGTCCCGTCTAGGTGGCCCCGTGGGGATGTTGGTGGCCTCGTGTTGTCCATCTGGGTGGCAGGGCTGTTGGGTAGCGCTTGGGGACATCAGTGGCCTCGTGTTGTCCCATCGGGGTGGCCCTTGGAGATGTTGGTGGTGTTGCATTGTCCCGTCTCGGTGGCAGAGCTGTTGCATGGCCCTTGGCGTCGTTGGTGGCCTCGCGTTGTCCTGTCTAGGTGGCCCCTTGGGGACGTTGGTGGCCTCACGTTGTCCCATCAGGGTGGCCCTTGAGGACATCAATGACCTCGCGTTGTCCCATCTGGGTGGCCCTTGGGGACATCGATGGCCTCGCGTTGTCCCATCTCGGTGGCCCTTGGCTTCATTGGTGGCCTCGCGTTGTCCCATCTAGGTCACCCTTGGGGACATTGATGGCCTCACGTTGTCCATCTGGGTGGCCCTTGGGGACCTTGGTGGCCTCGCGTTGTCCATCTGGGTGGCAGGGCTGTAGGGTGGCCCTTGGGGATGTCAATGGCCTCGTGTTGTCCCATCAGGGTGGCCCTTGGGGACCTCGGTGGCCTCGCGTTGTCCCATCTAGGTCACCCTTGGGGACACTGGTGGCCTCACATTGTTCTGTCTTGGTGGCAGGGCTGGCCCTTGGTGTTGCCGGTGGCCTCGCGTTGTCCCGTCGGGGGTCCCCACGATGTCCCATTGGGGTGGCCCTTGGGGACGTTGATGGCCTCGCGTTGTCCATCTGGGTGGCAGGGCTCTTGGGTGGCCCTTGGGGACATCGATGACCTCGCATTGTCCCATCGGGGTGGCCCTTGGGGCATTGATGGCCTCACGTTGTCCATTGGGGTGGCCTTTGGGGACCTTGGTGGCCTCACGTTGTCCATCTGGGTGGCAGGGCTCTTGGGTGGCCCTTGGGGACATCGATGACCTCGCATTGTCCCATCGGGGTGGCCCTTGGGGACCTTGGTGGCCTCGCGTTGTCCCATCTCGGTGGCCCCTTGGCTTCATTGGTGGCCTCGCGTTGTCCCATCTAGGTCACCCTTGGGGCATTGATGGCCTCACGTTGTCCATTGGGGTGGCCTTTGGGGACCTTGGTGGCCTCACGTTGTCCATCTGGGTGGCAGGGCTCTTGGGTGGCCCTTGGGGACATCGATGACCTCGCATTGTCCCATCGGGGTGGCCCTTGGGGACCTTGGTGGCCTCGCGTTGTCCATCTGGGTGGCAGGGCTCTTGGGTGGCCCTTGGGGACGTCGGTGGCCTCGTGTCCCATCCACCGTGTTCGGTCCCATCATAAGGTCACGGGGCGCTGGACGCGGCGCTGGTGTTGGCTCCGGACGCGGATGCATCCTGGCGGAGCGGGATCCGCTTTGATCCCGGCTCGCCTACAGTCGGCGCCGCCTGTAGCGCATGCACACACATCCCCCTACACCCCCAAAGCGCCGCGCTACAGGCGCCGTTCCCCGCACCGCCGGCCGGGCTCTGCCTTAACACGGACACCGTGTCCGGCATTCCCGCCCGGCTCCGCATTCCCGCGTGCGGGAAGCTCCGGATGTCGGGGCTCCCTCTGCGCCTGTACCCGCCGCCATCCCCGTGCGGGTGTTGCCGGCCGCCTGTACACGCCGCTCCCGCGGCTGTACGCGCATTCCCAATAAAGAGCCCTGCAATCCCGACCGGATCCCGTGCGTGTGTTGCGCCGTGGCCGGCAGCCGCCCTGGCATTCCCAGGAATGCCGCTTGCACTGGAGCACTCGGAGCTGCTCAGCCCAATCCCTGGAGCGGCCGGCGCTTCCCGGAGCACCGGCGTCTCCCGAGCTTTTCCCACGGCTCCGGCGTTTCCCGGAGCGCCAGCTTTCCCGGAGTGCCGTGTTCCCCATGCGCCAGCTTTCCATGAACTTCCCCGGAGGAGCAGCTTTCCCGAACAGCGGTGTTTTCCCAGACCGCCAGCATTTCCCGGAGCTTTTCTCAGCTTTTCCGGAGCTTTTCCGTTTTCCCGGAGCTTTTCCCCCAGCTTTTCCGAGCACTTTCCTGCATGCTGACGGTTTCCCGCGCGCCGGTGGTTTCCCAGAGTGCCAGCTTTTCCCGAGCTTTCCCAGAGCACTGGCGTTTTCCCAGTTCCAGCTTTCCTGACCTTTCCTGGAGCGCCGGCTTTCCTGTGCACTGGCATTTTCCCAGAGCGCCGGTGTTTCCCGAGCTTTTCCCAGTTCCAGCTTTCCCGACCTTTCCGGGAGCGCCAGCTTTCCCGCATGCCGGAGTTTTCCCGGAGCACCGGCTTTCCCACACACCGGCGTTTCCCGAGCTCTTCCCAGTTCCCGCTTTCCCACCATCGCGTGGGTGACGCTGTCGCGGGTGACGCTGACCAGGTGACGCTTTCGCGGGGGCTCTGGGCGGGTGACGCTTCCCCACACCACCGGCGCCGCCGCACGGGTGACACTTTCCCAACGTCACTATCGAGCGGGTGACACTTTCCCGCCACCGCTGTCGAGCGGGTGACGCTTTCCCGACATTGTCACTGGGCGGGTGACACTTTCCTACCGTCGCTGCCACACAGGTGACACCTTCCTGGCACTGCCGAGCGGGTGACACTTTCTTGCTGTTGCCGGCACCGCCGAGCGGGTGACGCCTTCCCGGCCGTGCCATGTGGGTGACACTTCCCTGCACCCCCAGCCCTGCCACCACCACACGCGTGACACTTTCCCGCACCACCAACATTACCGGTGTTGTGCGGGTGACGCTTCCCTGCCGTCGCCGCCAGACGGGTGACGGTTTCTCGGTGCCACCGAGCGGGTGACACTTCCCTGCGTCTGCCGCCGAGCGGGTGACACCCTCCCAGCTGCGCTGTGCGGGTGACACTTTCCCACACCACCAGCATTGCCTGTGCCACATGGGTGACACTTCCCTGCCGTGCGGGTGACACTTCCCCGTGGCCGCTGCTGGGTGGGTGACACTTTCCTGCCGCCACTGTGTGGGTAACACTTTCCTGCCGTCACCACCACGCGGGTGACGCTTCCCTGGTGCTGCCGTGCGGGTGACGCTTCCCAGCTGTCGGGTGGGTGACGCTTTTGCGACGCCGCCGAGCGGGTGACACCTTCCCAAGGCTGCTGCGCGGGTGACGCTCCCCTGGCGCCGCTGAGCGGGTGACACCTTCTCAGCACTGCTGTGCGGGTGATGCTTCCCCGCTGTTGCCGCCGAGCGGGTGACGCTTTTGTGACACTGCTGAGCGGGTGACACCTTTTCAGCGCCGCTGCGCGGGTGACGCTTCCCCGCCGTCACCGCCGGGTGGGTGACACACGAGCGGGTGACACCTTCTTGGCTGTGCCGCGGGTGACGCTTTCCTGGTGCCAACGGGTGGGTGACGCTTCTGTGACACCGCCGAGCGGGTGACAACTTCCTGGTCACGTTGGTGATGCTTCCCTGGCGCCGATGGGTGGGTGACACTTCTGTGACACCGCCGAGCGGGTGACAACTTCCTGGTCACGTTGGTGATGCTTCCCTGGCGCCGATGGGCGGGTGACACTTTTCTGGTGCCGCTGAACGGGTGACACCTTCCTCAGCACGCAGGTGACACTTCCCTGGCGCCGATGGGCGGGTGACACTTCTGTGACACCGCCAAGCGGGTGACACCTTCCCGGCCGCGCGGGTGACACTTCCCTGGCACTGACGGGTGGGTGACGCTTTCGCTGCGCCGCTGAGCGGGTGACACTTTCTGAGCGCTGCTGGGTGGGTGACACTTCTGCGACACCGCCGATTGGGTGACATCTTCTCGGCTGTGCGGGTGACGCTTCCCAGGCGCTGCCGGGCGGGTGACACTTTCCTGCCATTGCCGCCAGGCGGGTGACAACTTCCCAGCCGCACGGGTGACACTTTCCTGGCATTGATGGGTGGGTGACGCTTTCGTGGTGCCGCTGAGCGGGTGACATCTTCTCAGCTGTGCGGGTGACACCTTTTCAATGCCGCAGAGCAGGTGACACCTTCTCAGCGCTGTGCGGGTGACGCTTCCCTGGCACCGCCGGGCGGGTGACACCTTCCCGGCCGCGCGGGTGACACTTCCCTGGCACTGATGAGCGGGTGACACCTTCCCCGCCATCACCGCCAGGCGGGTGACACCTTCCCGGCCGCGGGGGTGACGCTTCCCTGGCACTGATGGGCGGGTGACGCTTTCATGGTGTTGCTGAGTGGGTGACACCTTCTCGGCTGTGCGGGTGACTCTTTCTCAGTGCCGCAGAGCAGGTGACACCTCAGCTGTGCGGGTGACACTTTCTCAGCGCCGCCAGGTGGGTGACGCTTTCGTGGTGCCACTGAGCGGGTGACACCTTCTCAGCTGCGCGGGTGACACCTTTTCAGTGCTGCAGAGCAGGTGACACCTCAGCGCTGTGCGGGTGACGCTTCCCCGCCATCACTGCCAGGCGGGTGACACCTTCCCGGCCGTGTAGGTGACGCTTCCCTGGCACTGATGGGCGAGTGACACTTCCCCACCATCACCGCCAGGCGGGTGACACCTTCCCGGCCGCGCGGGTGACACTTCCCTGGCACTGACGGGTGGGTGACGCTTTCATGGTGTTGCTGAGCGGGTGACACCTTCCCGGCCGCACAGGTGACACCTCCCTGGCACTGATGGGCGGGTGACACTTCCCCGCCATCACCGCCAGGCGGGTGACACCTTCCCGGCCGCGCGGGTGACACTTCCCTGGCACTGATGGGCGGGTGACGCTTTCATGGTGTTGCTGAGCGGGTGACACCTTCC